TATATATATATATATATATATATATATATATATATATATATATATATATATATATATGTTTGAGTGATGCCAGTACCACTGTTCTCTAATGAGTTACATGCTCTGATATGATTTTGAGATGAGTCAGGCATTACAATTAGCGAGGAATACGTTACGAAATCCTTTGACAAGGTTATGGATTAGACTAATCTCAGTGAAAACGATAAACACTGTAAACATGCTCCAGGCTGTACTTTAGTAGTATAAGATACTCTCTCCTCCTTAGCTCCTTATCATGGATCTTGCTACCCTTGTGTTGGAACTAGCAATAGGATATAATTATGGTTACATGTCTTGTTCTTTTTCACTGTAGGAACATAGCTTACCTATAGGCCATGTAGTGCTTTAAGAGCTTCTAGATCCCAGCAGCTTAGGGTAGGTGTATGACTTTGCAATGCTTTCTAAGACCATTTTGGAAAAAGTAGACATTGCTATGATGGTGAAGAAGGTGGCATGAAAATCATATGACTGGCAATGATCACAGGTAATGAAATGTAGACAGTCGCCCCAAGGTTGTCAGAATAGACCATTAATCCGGTAGGTCAATCTTATTATGGTCAGGGGTGTTGTGTGTGGTCTGTAATCTTGTAACAGGCTGTTGTGAGGGGCGCAGTGGGGCATGGGTATCCTAGCATATTCAGGGGGCCCAGGACTTTACACGGGCCTTTTGCTGTGTGAGATGGGTGGGGGGGCAGGTAACATTTTTATGGCCCAAGAATTTCCAGATACGCCTGTGGTGTAATCCAACTGTGATTATTTTTTGAGGAAAGTGTTTATGATGAAAGCAGATTTATCAAATTTAGATTAATTTAAGAGTTAACTATCTGATGCAATTTTAACCAGGGACTATTAGGTATAACATTTTCCTCTTTGGACCCATTTTAGCAGCTGGATTGTCAGAAAACATCAGGAACAACACCAGCAGATGAAGTGTTATTAGATAACAAACCTATTATACAACTTATTTACCAATGGAGACGCTGTCATTCTGTATTTAGGAAAATGATACAAATATTTGTCAAGTAATATACATTTTTGAGGTCATGTTCCTTACAATCAGTTCTTAAACTGTGTAACTAGTCAGCCAACTGAGTATAAGTTTATACCCAACTGTAAGGTAACTGCAGGTGGAAGTATTGAGCGGGTTAGAGGATTTCTGGTCTCTCTAGTTGTGTGACAGGCAAGCACGGTTCCTGGGGTGGCTCAGTGGGCCGACGGTACCACAGGTTCCGCGTCAGTGTCTGTTCAATACAGCTGATGCCCCGCTGAGATCTTACCTAAAATTAAAGTTAATGAATTACTTTGCCTTATTGCTGTTCTTTTGCCAGTATCATTCTTCCTTACCCAAAATCTTGCCAGTGAACAACAGGATATTTTTGCCATAGGAAATTTATGTAAATGTTAATGTTTAGGTTAATCTTCAGCTTTATTTTTGTTTACAAACACCAGTGTGTATCAGTGTAGTGTTAAGTGCTACATCTTTATATCACTAAGAGTGACATGGTCCAGGTAATTTATAACGTCTTATTCTTTATGTTGATTTTTGCTTGCCAAGCAAAATGCTTTCCATAGTCTTGTCTGTACCCTTGTTATATTTCAGCCTGTTTTAATTTCAGTGTGTCTGCTAATCAGTCCATTACCTGGTTGTGTGGTATAAAGCTCTGCTTTTTCTGGGTTTGTGTGGGGCATCTTTAACAGCGTTTTGGTCATCACCGAACTTCACCGTGCTAGATATTCCTGTGTTCTACTGTGTTCCATACCACATGATTTTGAATATAAAGATCTGACTGTTGCATATTACAAATTAAAATTGACCAATAAAGTCTTCGAATAGGTGAGAACCTGGAGTGATAAATCTATTACATTTGCTTTTTTACCCATATTCCCATTTTGGGTTCCCCACAAGTTAAACCTGTTTTTTTGTTGCTTTTTAATAAAAAAAAATCATGACTATTTCCAAAATGACATTGTAGAAACCATGGAATGTCTACTTTTTGTCTTACAGATTATGTCTATTTTGAAAATTCATCAAGTAACCCCTTATTAATCAGAAGAATAGAGGAACTGAACAAGGTAAGAACTGTGTATTTTAATTTGATTAAATCCTTTGTTTAATTTGCGGTGGTTTTAATGCCCTACTTTTAGTCTGTACGTGTGGGGGGTGGCAATTGGAGATGCTTTGATATGATTAAAACACCTCTGGGCCTGGACCCAGTCCCAGACTTCTTGGCTCTGAGAAGCTCTTACTTCCCCTATCGTCGATCGCACAGCCTAGTGAGAGACCACATATATTCACACTTCCCACTTCATAACACAAAACAAACACGCATGATATCCCCGAGTTTCACAAAGCTGTCACAAAGCTAAGGTTATAAGAGCTGATTCCCATGTTGGTCGAGCCCACATGATTTTCGTCGTTTTACATTGTGTTCGGGGGTTTGTATCTGTTGACATTACGACGTTTTCTGAGACAATTCAGTCAATGACCGATCACATATATTGGCGATCCCATTAGACTATACTGTAATGGACCTGAAAAAAATTATATAACGTAGTGATATCGTAGCTGATGTAATGTTGTATTGCATCACATTGCTCACGTGTTTGTGGTGATTCTGGTGTAAACAAACTTACTGTGCTGCCAGTCATATAAAAGTATAGCACCTACAATTATGTGCAATACATAATGCTTGATAATGATAATATACCACTGTTACTGGTTTATGTATTATCTGTACTGTAATTTTTATCATTGTGGGCAATCTTATCCAGAAAGGGCTGTTGGATATATGGGTTTTCATTGCAGCTCCCTAATTAGATTACTAATTAGAGGACCAATTTAGCTGAAGAGTCCTCACACCTGTGTTTGATCAGCTAACCTAAAGGTAATCCCAATAACCTGCACACACACCGGCCCTTTGTGGATAAGGCTGCCAGCCCTGCTCTATGATATTCTCACAATGACAAAATCACCAAACTAAGCATTTCTCCTAACGTATCCCTGTTAAGCCGCACACTGCTGTGTATATAAGAGCTTTCCTTCTTGTCCACCATGTATTTATCTAGATGTTCACAAGTGAGTCTGTATGGTATACATTTCCATGTAAATATACAGTTGATCTGGTCAATTCAAATTCTAACAGTCAAATTCTTTACAGCTGTATCTAAAATTATCTTGTTTGTGTCAAATATAAGACAGAACATGAAATGCTCTTTAAGTGCAACACTTGCCGAAATGGCTGGTTTAATGACGCCTATGAAAATGTAAACCCAGTTTTTCTGAAAATGGTGCCATTATTTTGTACGTGTCGCGTTTCAGCCGTCGTGATTGGATTTTTTTGTTTGCAATGGCTGCTCTGTGGAGAGCTGACTACAGTTGCGGGGTTTTGTTTTTTCAGACTTGCCATTTTCCTTTGAAGTGCTTAGAGAGGGAGACACTTTGAAAAACAGCCATAGTGCACATTTTAAAAATGTTTTATGATAAATATGACGCAGATGCATGTTTCACCATCTCCTTCCAGAACTTTCTGTTTACGTTTCCGTGGTTACTTAATGATGAACTCAGTCAGCTTTGAACATGCAATGAATTTTACGCTGTTACTCATTTATCTGTTGTGACCTGATTGACCTGAGCATCTACACGTGTTGCTTGCATAGATTTTGTTAAAGGTAACAAAAATGTGAAGCTTAAACATATAATATGAAGCTTATTTTTTTCCAATGATCTCTTACCAGGTTCCATTTAAAAATTTAGCATAATACTGCTCAAGCCATTGAATCCTGTGAATTTGCATAAATTTTCTGTCATTCATAACCTATTAATCAGTAGTATCGTAATTCCTGGTCCAGTACCTGGGGCATTGACTGGAAGCTCAGCCTAGCTGCACTGATTCCAAGCCGTCTCCTTAACGGCATGTATGTCTCTAATGTTCTATTTGCCTCACTTGTATATCCCTTTGGGGGAAAAAGCATCTGTTAAATATAAATAAATATAAATGCAAACCCCACAGTATGTACTATGGATCGCCAATGAAAGAAAGGTGAACAGCTTAAAAGGGTGTGTAAGGTTACAATGTTACACGTAACTGTGTTATTTCTCCCTGAGGTTTTTATTAGTCACTTGACCAGTTACTTAGGCCAGTTGTCTTCTCAGTCAATCCTGTATTGGAGTCTGGTTTAATCTTATTAAACAGCTTTAAATGCTCCTAAATATACTGGGAGTCGGTCACCTGCCATCAAAGTCTCATCGCTTGAGCAAATGATCAGTCATAACCGACACCTTGGTCTACTGAACTGTATTAATTTAATGCAGCATTGGTCTCAGAGGTTTAGTTTGACATGAAATCTAACCAAACCAGGACTAGTTGAGTTCTGTCACCTGAAATGACACATGGCAATTTCACTTCTCATTGGGTTTTGGGTACCTCACGAGTCCCTAGCGCAGAGGCCCTGAGGGGCAGTTTGTTTAGTGTTTTGGTTGCTGATTGCCATGTCGCCTTTTTCACAGACGGCCAATGGTAACGTGGAGGCTAAGGTGGTTTGTTTCTACCGACGCAGAGACATCTCCAGCACGCTCATCGCCCTGGCAGACAAGCATGCGCGTGAGTATGGCTGCAAGTCTGCACGTGCTGGGATATTCCCGTTCCTGTGCCATTCCATGCAAAAATAATGAATATAAATGCAAAGTATTGCTTCTTTGGTAAATTTAGAAGGATTTTTGGTAACACTTTCTATGATTGCCTTGTCTATAAGAATCTATGAAATCTATAATGCACTATAGATACCTTTTATAATGCAGTACAAAGCATCCTTAATGCTTACACTGATCATTAAAATGTATTATAAAGGTATCTAGAGTGCATTACCGATGAGAGCTTCATTGGAGCTTATCAAGTATTATAACCAACACTATAATGCCTTTATGACCCTCAATAGAAGATGCTGTAATGCTTTACTAATTCTTATAGTGACCTTTAATTCACTATGAAGGTATCTATAGTGCATTATAGATGACAGCTTCAGATAAAGTATTACCGGATTTTTCTGTCACTAAGTGAATGAAAATGCACATCTAATCACTAAAATTTCTTGGTGAGTAGCATTGTGGCCTGACACTTCTGAGAATGGAGGTTTTAATTGGGGTACCTGGTTCTGCGGGCGTGGAGTTGTGCAGGTTCTCGCTGTGCCGGTGCAGGTTCTCGCTGTGCCGGTGCAGGTTCTCGCTGTGCCGGTGCAGGTTCTCGCTGTGCCGGTGCAGGTGTCGTCTGGGGACTCTGGTTTCCTTTTCCAGACGGCACCATGTGGTTAGGTGAACAGAGGCCTCTCTAAATTAGTCATGGAGGGTGTGAATAGGCCTTCAGATGGACCCTTGTCCCAGACAGGGAATTCCCTACCTTACATCCTGTGGTTCCTGGGATGGGTTCCAGACTTACCACAACCCCGTACTGGACAAACAGTTCTGATGCATAATTTTATTTCTGCGTTTTGTGAATGGCAAACGGTAGCCTGGTTTACAAGCTTTTGCTGCCAATCTGTTTTACTGTTATTTACAAATGCAACCTATCTTCATTTTAAACCAGCACGCGTTTACGTAATTTAAATGCTATGGTGCACAGTCATGCAAGTGTTTAAGGAAAATTAAAATTTGTCGTTTTAAAAGCTGTCGTGAAAGACATTTTCTTTCAGTTGGCATTTGATTTACTGAAACATAATAATGTATTATGACTGAACGGAGAGATAGCGGGGACTAACAATTACGCAGCTGCGCGAGGCCTCGAAAGCTATGGAGCCTGTCAGAGAATGTGAAAGTGATGTGTAAAATGTCACATTCAAAGGAAATTATATTATATTATAGATTATATTCTTTGTGCTTATGCGATTATGTGGTCGACTTCAGCGTGATCTTTGAATGGAGGTTCAGCCTACTTGGCAGGTGCCGCCGTAAACGCTGAGGGTTGACTAACCTCACATAAACTTCAGCGTCTAAGTCTGATGCAGAAGGAATCTCTGGCTGTTTTTCCCGTTTCATGCAGTCTTTGTGTGGGGAGAGCATCCTGTGGGTTTGTTTTGTGTGTGTGTGTGTGTGTGTGTGTGTGTGTGTGTGTGTGTGTGTGCGCGCGTGCGTGCGTGCGTGCGTGCGTGTGTGTGTCTAGGCTCGTGTGTCTGTAGTGAAAACAGTGGCTTGCACCTTTGTCAGCGGAGAGCATCGCCTTGAACCTGAGTCTAAAGAATTGGATGTTGTTAGGCTATGGAGCACCGCGCAGAAGGCAGGCCTGCGTGTGTTAGGCTATGGCAGACCACACAGAAGGCAGGTCTGTGTGTGTTTAACAGTGCAGAGCCAGCAGTGCCCCCATGGACTTCTAGACATGTGCAATATGTGAAAAATTCGTGGCAGGCCTGGCTCCGTACCACATGGGTGTGGGCTGTATCCTGTCTGTGTTGCTGTAACGAGCAGCAGACTGGTGAAAAAGGGGGAAACTCTCGACATCTGTGTGAAATGAGGGATTTTGTGTGGTTCTGCCTTCCTCCTGTACCCCGGATGTACCTGTTAGTCACTGGCAGTCATCACCTCTGCGCCCCCTCTTGGGGACCCACCATAACCCCCTTGCAATGCCCCCTGTTGATGGCTGGTCCCCACAGGTTAAGTCTGTCAGAATTCTGGGCCGGAGTTGGCTTTGAGACGGGGGGGCAGGCTATGAAAACAAGCGACGGATATTCGTCTTTTCAGCTGGAAAATTTTTTACTTTGCCACAAGCATTTTATGGTCAACCACCAGGACTTTTTAGCTGTAGGGAAAAAATATTTAAGCATATGATGCCATTTCTTTTCCATATTCTACTAGGTATATAAAACATTAATTATGGTTTGCCTGGCACTTCTGCAGTTGTACAGGAGAAAATAAATATGTTTTATACGAGGTTCAAATTAAGTGCAGTTCTGAACTTTTGATGTAATTCATGTTTTGAACCGTTTGTCTTCAGCCTGTTTTCAGTTTGCCTTCTGCAGACTTTCAGAACTTCTAAAGCAGATCTTTTAATTGAATTTTTTTACTTTTGTCAGAAGTAGATGAATTCAATAGCAATTGTCTGCATCAAAAATCTGGACAAGATTCACCAAGTAACAGTTTACCTTCATTCATTGAAAGGCAAACTACTGTCTGTACAATGTTTGATAACGCTCTACGTTAACTGCACGTTTATAATGTATTCACAGAACATTCAGTGCACCTTCATAATGCATTCATAGAACACTCAGCATACCTTCATAATGCATTCATAGAAGACTCATAAGCAGCATGTAACTATACCTTAACATCCTAACATACCGTAACAGCTTCAGTATACTTTGGTAACAAACATTATATGTTGTTTATTGAAAGTGTTATGTATGCAATGCTTTAAGACATTCTATGGTATACTTACATGCTGCTTATGAATGCTCTATGAGTGCATTATGAAGGTGCCCCGAATGTTCTATATATGCATGATGAATGCATTATGAAGGTACAGTTCATATAAAACATAACCCAATGTTTTGATCCCTTCTTCAAATCAAGAAAAGCTGTCATGCACTGTGTAATTTAATAACAATTCTATGTTGCACATATATTTTGGCCAAAATAATAATATGGATCTTCGCAAACCAGTATGAACACATAACTAACTGCCTGTTTAATTGATCTGTATTGTTTGTATTGAATCCTCTCTTGGTGCGGTACCATCATTCTGGATGAGCTTTTGTGAACTACGACGCTTCCATAGGTTGTGCTGGGCATGAATAGCTTGCACCACCAGCCCCACCCCCGCCATTTAGACTAGTCTGCACTGCTGAGAGTGGATTTGTGCCAGTGGCTGTCCTGTGATTCACAGATTAAGTATTTTACTGGCAAGATTTGTGCCCCTCCCTGCTAGAACTGCCCCCACCCTCAATGTGGGTCCAACCCCAGCCCTAGGAGACCAGTCCTGAGCCACAAGTCCTGCAGTCACTAGCAGAATAGAGGGCAAGGCTCAGAATCAAATGAGGCTTTTGCACAACTCTTTAATCGTTTGTTATGGCTTTTTCGTCTGTGTGTTTGTGTTGTATTTGACAACAGAGGAAACGAAACAAAGACATCTTCCATCTGACCTATAGCTTTAAAAAGTTGGAGTGTAACATGCAGTTTTTATATGATCAAATTATTTCCATTTCTGGATGTCATTAAGCCAGCATAGATACTAAAAACACAAGGTTACCGCAGGTTTGGCAGATCTGATATATAAGATCTGATAGTTAAGGCTGTTTATCGTTTGGCTTTGGTGTTTGTGTATTCGGTTTATGTATTTGATATGGTTCACATTTATTCAAATGCTTTGTCAGGTGCATCAGTTTTTTAACATGAGGAAGCCTAAAGATCACTTCATGATCTCAGGACACCGTATACCATCTCCCATCTTTCTTTCCTCTGCATTTGCCCATAGTAGTGTCTCTCAACCAGGTCCTCAATGGACCCCTATGCAGTCCATGTACCCCCCTGGGAGGGAGCGAAAATGTGAACTGTCTAGCAGGGAGCTGGAAGGGAGCAAAAATGTGGACTGTCTAGCAGGGAGCTGGGAGGGAGCAAAAATGTGGACTGTCTAGCAGGGAGCTGGGAAGGAGAAAAAGGGAGTCCCCGATGAGCGGGTTGGGAGACTCTGGTCCATAGTTTGTCTGAGTTATATTTCTTTGAAGGTTCTCCTTCCTCTTCTCTCTCTGCTCTTCTGCACCCTTCTTAATTCTATCCTTTCATTTTTGTCTCTTTTTAAATTATTTTTCCTCTCCTGGTCTCGCAAAGCGAATGATTCGTTTAAAATTGTGCTGGGGTGTGTGTGGTGGAGAGACGCCCAGGTGGGGGTGTGGGCTGAGATCAGTGTCGGAGGAAGGGCCTGCAGCCTTCACCCCACGGCACGTAGGCCGACCTGCACCCGCGATGCTCCTCACCTCCTCAGCTCTCTACCCCTCACACACTCCCCCCTCCCCCAGTCCCATCTACCCTCATGGGATCATGCCTCCCAGCAAAGTCTGTCAGATGAGGGGCCCTCTGTCCTCCTCGCCCTGCTCTGCTCAGCTTACTGCTGTGGCATATGTTTAACAGATATTTGAGCTCAAACACAACAAATGATGGGCCCGGGTGTAATATTCTCTATATGTGTGATTTGTCTGTGTTTTTTGTATTTCTTGTTACTTCTGTCTGGAAGTACGAATTAAGAAGGACTGATCTATGTATAAAGCTATATACACCCTCTCCTCATGTAGCGAGTATGTTGGTTAACGACCATTTGCTAGTAATAAAGTAATAAAAAAAATAATTTTCCAATGCGCAGATTTTTTTGTACATCTCACAACAATGCATGTGTGTTAGAATAATGCTGGTTTACCTGTAACAAAAGCAACCAGTGATCTCCGCAGTGAGAAGCGCTTTTACAGTCACAGCTAGGCTACCGTAGATTTTATTTAGCAACTATTCCACTTAAAGATCTGGATATGTTTCCATATTTTAGAAGTATCATTGCCATTGTAGCCACGTTGGCAGTTTGTCAGTCACGCATTAAAAAAGATTTTAGGCAGTGACAGTACACTTTGTTGTGCATTCAAACAAGCTAGTTAATTAACCAATATCCTGTCTACTACCTGACTTCCACTGTGTATCTCATATTGGTGGAGTTATTTTTGATATCCAGATCAATCATAAACGGCCGGGCGGCTTTTACTGAAAATGTCGATTGGAAGGGCTGCTCGATATCACATCGGAGTTGCATGGAGCATGTGCAATAATCACCAGGGCTTTGGATGACGGATATAAACATTCGTCTGGACTGCAAGTTTTCGGTACCATATGGGTGTTTACACCCGCAAAATTTGGTAAGCATATTAGTAGTAAATCTAAAATATTAATGAGAGGTGTATTGTGATGCCCAAAACTTAGTAATTGGTATATATTCAGCGTACTCTTTTATTTAATGAATGTCGGATCACCACCGTCTTTTCTTTTTAAACCTTGTTTATCCACAATATCTCCTCGTATAAAACATGCTGTGGCTGCTGATCTCTCCCTTTCTTCATCGCCACTTCAGTTCTTATCGCTTCCATGATTTACCAACACGGTAGCATGTAGCGTGCTCCGCTAACCAAATTTAATAAGCATAAAGATACACCAAATTTACACAGATTACTTTTGGATATCACAATACGTCTCTCATTAATATTTTAGGTGTATTACTAATCTTCTTGACAAATTGTTGTCATCCGCCAGCATCCATGCACAGAGCTTGGGTAGGATTCACACCTTCGACCTGGGACGTGTGAGATGATCGTTTAATCTTAATTTTTTTATGTTGTTTGGCTCCAAGACACATATAATGTTCTTCAGCTTATGTCTTAAGTCTTCAGTAGGTTCTCGCACCAAACGTAACTGAAAAATAGTCATTCAACACAAAACATTTGATGTTACTTATCAGCATAACTTATTGTGCCTCGATTCTGTCTTTGTGTAATATCCTGTAATTGTTGACTGGGTAATAACTTTGAGGTGTCTTGTCTGCTCTGGTGTGATCTGTTTTTGCACTGATGTGGTGTTTTGGAGGGCTTGGGACATTCCCAAACCTTCTCCTCAATATCCCCCAAAGATGCCTTTGTTCTATCGCCATCCTTGTTTCTGCTTCCTGTATAGCGAATCAGGGCGAGCTGCCGCGAGAGAGAGAGAGAGAGAGATCTGGACCACATTCAGCCTCCTGCCTGTCTGCAGCAGTGGAGGAACACTGAGTCCCGAAGGCTTTATATGCATCTTTACATACAATGTGGACCAAGTTCTACTTGTTTCTGCCCCTTTAAAAGGCAGCGAGGCACCAGTAGGGGAATAAGGGTGTGCGATTACACTTTGGCACGGAGACCATATAAGTACCTTCTTTTCTCTCTCTCTCTCTCTCTCTCTCTCTCTCTCAGCTCACAAAATGGTGGTTTGTGCATCGCCGTAGTGCATTTGATACCATGTTACCAGGCAGTGTGTGTTCTTTCCCAGCAGTTTGTCATGCCCCTTGCATCTTCGGGCCAGCTTGTGCTGTGTGTTAACGTTGGATACACAGTCGGAAAGGCTGTTAAATGTCACGGCGGCCGTTTCTCTGCTCGGGCCAGACCGAGAGTCTCATTGAGAAATCTTTCGCAGTTGTGTAGTAACCTGACATCTTTACAGGGAACATCTGTGTTTCTGTCCATTGAGACTCATGATTTAATTTGAGGTCTTGTAATTAATTACTGATTTTAGTTGCTTCAGTGGCTCTGCTATGTGAAGTAATTCGTGAAGGTTTATTTTTAGGAAAATGATGCCTTTCCATTGAATTTTAGTAAAACATCAATGAAACTGGTAGTGTATAAATTATAGTCAGGAAAAGTTAATAGTTATGTTAACTTTCTATTATGATGTCACATTGATAATCTCACATATAAGAAGCAATATATTGATTTTATTTGTATTTTTAAATTCCTAGACTACAGTCAAACTTTTTTCCCACTCCACTGGTTTTTACCGCTTTTCTATTTATTTCATAAACTGCAGATTTTTTATTCCTGTTAAGCATTAGAAAGTTGAGTGAACAACTATAAATGAAAGTACAAGTCAAATAATACATGTTTCCTTCCTACATGGAAGAGTATGTAACAGTGCATGTCTGACATCCTACTGAGTGGTTGTGTGGTGATGGAATAGTCATATTCTAGGCAGCCCTATAACTTGCTGCACTAGTAAACAGATTCCTCCCATGAGACAGAGCAGTATGTAATGTCCCTTGTAGAAAGAATTCCTTGGATTTTCTCTGCTGTTATAACTGCTAGAGGAGGTTACTTTGATGAATCAAAGATATGACATTTTCTTGCTAAAAGCACTCAAATGTTGAACATACTGAAAATTTATTTGTTAGCAAAGAATATTAAGTGTATTTTCAGTAAATGTTTAGTGAGTAACATGCAAATGTAGAAAATCTCAGTGTGGGCAAAACTTTTGACTGGTAGTGTAGTTTCCTGTAGCCTTTTATTTGTATCAGCATATCATATATTATTTTGAAAAACTCTGAAATGATGTAAGCGATAGAACATGTGAGGATATAAAGCACATTTGAACTTTGACCCCCAGGAGAGATGGAGGAAGAGATGGAGAGCCCTGAGATCGTGGATCTCCCAGAGAAGCAGAAGCACCAGCTGAGACACAGAGAGCTCTTCTTGTCCCGCCAACTCGAATCTCTACCTGCCACACATATCCGGTAATAACTCAAAAAACCCACACATTGTGTTCCACCTGTGCTTCTCTGCCTCCCTTTAATTTGCCCACATATATGTTAAGCATAATATTTTATACATAATGGTCAGGGGTGCGCATAAAGTATTTTACGTGCATTTCCGCTGCTATGACAAGAAATTGTTGTGCATTATAACCTTTGCACTGCAAATGAAGTACGAATTAGCATATAAAGGTTAAAATGCACAATAATTTCTTGCATGCATCCCCGATTATGGTAATATTTCATCTATCTTGGTTTGCTGTTATATATTTACTGTTTTTTTTTCTTGTCAATATATCTCACACCTATCAACACGGACTTGTTCAATTGCTTAAAATGCATTTTCGTACTAATGTACTGAAGCAAATGGTAATATTTCATCTCTAAAATGTCTTAGATTTTACATAATTTGAGAAGTAGATGTAGACCTTTTTTTAAAAGTACAAATGTGATATGTTTTCTCAGAGGCAAATGCTGCGTTACTCTGCTGAATGAAACCGAGGCCCTGAAATCGTACCTAGATCGAGAGGTAGGTAATGGCACTTGGGTATTTATTTACTTGTTTGTTTGTTATATTCTGTCTATGATATGTGGTGTGCACATGTATGTTTATTTATAAGGATAGTTCAACAGTCTACAAGTCTGTGTGTGTGCGAATGTGTTTCCACTGCGATATAAATTATTCAGTCTGTTGACCTAGAGTGTTCTCAGCATACTGAGCAAAGAAGAGGCAGGGGACTCTGCAGGACTGTTGGAAAGACCACCGCACAGATACATCGCAGATAGCAAAGACCACCGCACAGATACATCACAGATAGCAAAGACCACCGCACAGATACATCGCAGATAGCAAAGACCACCGCACAGATACATCGCAGATAGCAAAGACCACCGCACAGATACATCGCAGATAGCAAAGACCACCGCACAGATACATTGCAGATAGCAAATTTATTTAATCCTCTCTGATTCTCTGGAGAATTTGCAGTGATCCATAGGAGGATATGCTGCGTTGGGTATAACCCCAAGTCGATGACAGTGATGTGGAATTAAACAGCTTGTCTCACTGCTTTAATAGTAACAGTGAAATGTCACAGTCTTCTTTAATCAGAAAAAATAAAGCATCAAAGTTGGGTGGATTGACCTGTGTGCCTCAAACAAGTATGAACAGATGATGGCAGAGAATAGTGTTTGGCACAGAAGCACTATTGGGTTTGCACATCGAATGTGACATAAATGTGAAATCAAAGGACAGATCACAGAATATCTGGGGTAGTGTCTCCACAAATGCAAGTGATTTGACTTTATGGCTGCTCATCCCTATAGCCGCTCCCCCTGTGTGCCAACATCTCACCCATATCTCCCTCCACCTCCTTCCATCTTAGTCTGCTACAATCCGTGTATCATTCGTTCATCCGTTTTTCAATATGAAACCAAAACAAATCTTTCGACTCAAAGCCTTATGTTTTCACATTTCAACATTAACGGATACTATTTTTCATGCTAATGGAAAGATCTCACACCCAATAGGGCAGAGAATGAACTAATTCTAATGTAACTTGTCAGCAAACTTGAATGAACCTCACAGGATACAGAAGAAGATTACTTCGCTTAGATCAAAAGTGATCAATTATTTATAGATCGAAAGCATAAGCTAATAAATATGACAAAAGGAAGGAACAACACAAAACTCTCCATTTTGATTAAATGCGACCTTTCTTTGCAAGTTTGCCAGCCTTCAGTACAGTACAATCATTCCCGGGTCCCGGCGTTTGTATCAAATGAAAAAAACAAAATCGGACATGAGCGCTCGTTATCCGTTTGTTCCATTTTTGATCTGAGCACAAAATGGGAAATCAGAAAACGAGCCATTATCCGTTTTATCGTTTTGGTTTTGGAAACAAAAACTGAAAATACGAGTGGTTTTCCGATTTTTTTGCTCTGGGTTCATATTGAAAAACGGATGAAGGAATGATAGACGGATTTGCTGCTAACTCTCTCGATCACCCTTCCCCTACTGCAGGACGCCTTTTTCTACTCCCTGGTGTACGACCCTCAGCAGAAGACCCTGCTAGCAGATAAGGGGGAAATCCGTGTCGGGAACAAGTACCAGGCCGACATCACTGACTTCCTCAAAGAAGGTGTGGACCTCGTCTACGAAGTCATGAAGCATTTTATTGTCTGGGCGAGGAGGAAAATGCTTCAGTGCAGGACAGTCATTCGAGCGAGTGCCAGATTATATCATTTGGGCTCCTTTCTGCATGGAGCAGGGAGACCTGCTCAGAATAAGGTGGATGGGTCCCATGGCTCCTGCATCCAGAGGGCCACTGGCTTGGTCGAGGACCCATCACACCGCTCTCTCAACCTCGTTGCTCCACTGCAGTCTGGTAGGAGGTCTTGCAGCCTCAAAGCCGGAACAGTGAAGCTTTTTTTCTCAAACTATTCAACTGTGGAACAGTCTGTCCCCTCCTAGCCTAAGTTGGTACTGTTAAATGGACTAACAACACTTGACTCCTAACTCTGAATCTCAAACGGTTCTGCTTCCATACCAAACTTTTGTGCCAAATTTGCACACTCTCTCCCCCACCAATCAGATGGTTAGCTGTATTTCTTTGTCTGTCTTAACTTGTATGTATTTCATGTCATGTTTTTATGCCTCAGTATTTGTATTCTCTTTTAAATCTCATTTGCGCTATGGCCCACCAAAATGACAATGAAAGGTACTGAAAGGTTTTTTGTCAAACGCAGACAGGGACATTAACAGGGCACGTGCACAGCCGTTGTGGTCGGCGCTTGTTTTTGACCAAGGTGACCTGATTTGTAGGCGAACAGGACGGACGGGACCTGTCCAAGATGGAAGAGAAGATGTGGGACCCCAGCAGTCCTTTGACAGAGAAACAGATTGACCAGTTTCTCGTGGTGGCTCGGTAAGGGTTTGGTTCAACCTTGTGATGGTGAATTTTGTTTAGACTGAATAAAAACTATTCCCCTCTGTGTGCAGAAACGCTTCTTGGTATCATTGTTCATGCAACGCTTAAACAATTGAATAGTTCTACACCGTGTGACAGGGATGCCCAATACGTCGATCGCGATCGACCAGTTGATCCCAAGTCATGCTGGTAAATTGCATGCCCTTTCAAAAAACTGCCTCTGTTTAATATCAGATTCTTCCCATTCCATAATTCCACTGAATTTACCGGGCCTAATACTATGCGCTTTTACTAAGCAGGGAAAACCAAACTTTAATCTAACGTTTGACAAAATGTTGGCAGTGCGTCCGTCTCGCCATTGCTAGCCTGCTACAAACTATTTCACACACATTAAAAAAAGAAATCAAAAATGAGTGTGGGACTAAGGAAGAAGCTGAAAGCTTACCACTTCAATACAGAGTGGGAGGAAGACAGTGTCCTATTCTAAATGTGTCTCTGATCTGCCAAACGTGCATCTGTATTCTGAAAAAGGAATGTGGTAGGCATTATTGGGGGGGCTGATAGATCACATTGAGCTGGTCATTTTTAAAGTAGATCACAAGCAAAAAAAGTTTTAGCATACCTGCTGTATAATATGTATATTTAGTGATGGTTATTGACAGCTGCTCATTTATCTGACATTTACCCAATGTAGCTTATAGTACAGAGTTGTAATTCATGCGTCCTCTGTGGGATCTGAACCCATTACCATTGTGGTGTGAGTGTGACACGCTGCTTGTTGAGTTACAGCAGCTGATGTCTGTCTGCTCTTTCCCTCCACGTCTCCCCTTCACTCCTCTTGCCTCTGCAGGTCTGTGGGGACCTTTGCACGAGCTCTGGACTGCAGCAGCTCGGTCCGGCAGCCCAGCCTCCACATGAGTGCAGCCGCTGCATCCCGGGACATTACTCTGGTGAGTCCCGTCCAGCAGAACTCCTCCTCCTAAAGGGAACACAACTGGGTCAGTTTGCTCTAACCCGAGTCCAAGTTTGTTGGGCTGTGCTCTCTGCACTTCTCATGTGAGCTTCTGGCATTCAATCTGTCAGCCTAGTTAAAGCTCTGGTCTGGATGAACTAACAGATTGTTTGCCTGTGGATCAGATCTGTCATCACTTTTCTGATTGGTACATTAAGAATTTGTTCTCATATTTACAGTACATAAAAATATAACGCTGGCTTGCAGGTCATTGGGTATTACTTGTGAATCTCCTGAGCAGGGAGATTGAGAGACACACACACACACACACACACACACACACAGACACACACACACTCACACACACACTGGGAAATCTGGCTGCAGGCACTCTCTGGGCCATGCTAATGAGTCCTGCTCTGCCTCTTCCCAACCTCCTGTGGCCACTCCGGCCTACTTCTGCTGGTCATATATAAAACATGCAGAAGAAACCCATCCAAGAGCAACAGACTGAGTCACCCACATGTCTGCCTGCATGCATTTTCAGCATCAGCCACTGCAAGCTTATGCTATAATAGTTTCAATAGAAAAAAGTGTAAAATAGTACAGTACATTCAAATTCAGTAGGTTTTTATAAATGTGTAAATGTATTTTATTCGGTACTGAATAAAATACATTTGCTGATGATGTATTGCTGATTATATTTAATAACATTTATATGGAAGCCGTTTAATTTTAGGTTAAAGTGTAGTTTCTCCTGGAAATAGAGTTCTTTGCTGCTCCTATGAGCCACGTCGCCCCCTAGCTGACGGGGAGGGGCTTGCAGCTTCTGCTGCCAAAAAATGAGTGTGGTCTGCCGTTTCAAGCCATTTTCACCTCTTTCAAGACGCAGTCTTCGATAGTTACCCTTATATAATGGTTTTGATCTTCGATTCTTTATGTGAGTGAGGGAAAAGAACCTAAAAATTCAAGGAACTAGTGTACAAATTCAGCAAACAAGAATAATGGGTAAGATTAGCAATTGAAATCCGTTCTATTAATACGTGTTGTACGCAACTCTGAAGTTCAGGGCCACTCTAGCAATTATGTCCTTGGCAAGAAAGCAACAAAAGAAATGATTGTTTTGGACTGGATGGGGGAGGAAAATCATTCTCTTCATCCTCAGAAATAAAATTGAAAATGACCAAAAAATTGTAGACGAAAGTATTGATAAAACAAGTCGCTATTTTTGTGCTGTTGAATTTTACGTAATTTATCTAAACAACAAACACAACCGCCTAACAAGTACGTCAGTCTATACATCATAGGTGTTTCTTCTCTGACTGGTGTTCTGTAACACGAGTGATAACATGATTGTGACATATAATGTTACATGTATATCTGTGCAGTTTTTGCCCATTTATAGTAGCTGTTTCTATTGAAATCTGTTGGTTCTTAATGCTTTTGACTGGGCCCCTCAAACTCCAATCTGTCATTTTCTTTTGTTTATTCTTTTCTTTATTTTTAACAAAGAAAAATGTCCCTTTTTCATATCACTACCATAAGAAATAATGGCATTGACTGTTTGATATGTTGTGTTGGATCAAAAAATGTGATCACGGCGCCTGTTGCTGGATCTGTCGTTATCACTCTTCGTTGTGTAATAATGGATGTTATTGGCGTGTGTTCTTCAGTCTGAAGTACATTACCAGTGGACACCCCCCCCGATAAAAAGATTTATTTCTACTATTCTCTACATTTTAGAATAATTATAAAGACACCAGAAATATAAAATAACATAGATCCCTGGGTTGGCAGAGTGATGCCCCCACTGGGCCCTTGAGCAAGGCCCTTAACCTCAGTTGCTCCAGGCACTGGCTGATCCTACTCTCTCCTCTACACCAGTTACATGAGGTGGCCTCCTGGGATGCTTTTCCAGCTGTCCTGAAGGAGGTCCCACATATATGCTGAGCTCTCATTGGCCGCTTTTCCTTCACTCTCTGGTCAAACTCCTGTGTGTAGGTCAGGTGACCAGGTCATGTGATGCGACACTATCACTCTCCTTTGTAGGCGGTTTGGCGTGTTCAAATTTTTGACTTGTACTGTGTTTTGCAGACCCTGATCTGTGATTCTTTACTTTGCCATGTAGTGCCTGTGTTTTAGTCATTGGATGAAACTCATACTCTGGACAAAGACCTCCAAAACCCTTTTGTTCTGAATGGACTGATATTAACAAGTCAAAACTGAGAAAAGCAGATTCATTATTTTTTCAGTGGACGAAAAGTTAAAAGGAATTTGGAAATTGGTGTAAATGGCTCAGTTATCAGTGTTTGTGTTTCCATATACTGTAATTATATTTGTGTGTGTGTTTGGATGGTGGAGAGTGGGATAAAGCGTAGTAATATATGCAGTGGTTTACGTGCCGAGTTCTAAAGCAAGTGATTGATTTGCGGTACAGTGTTATCTAGACTTGCAGTGGCCATTTTATTAGGCAGCCCTGCATAAAGCCTCGTTTTTCCTGGACTGAGTAGTTACGTGTCTGGACATGCCTTTCTGCGCACACCTGTTGTATTGAGCCGTTATTTTTGCCCTTGTGGCTTTTTTGGTTGCTTTAACATGTCTGGTCTTTCTCCCCTGGCCTTTCTCATTAGCCAGGTGCTTTTTTGACTACGCCTGACTGGATATTTTTCGTTTATTCTCTGTAAACTCCAGACAGTGTAGTACATGGGGGTCCCAGGAGGGTGTCTGAGACGCTGGAACTACCACATACGGCATGAACAATCATCCCACTTCAGATCGTGTGTCTTAGCCATTCTAATGCTAAGCCGCGCCGTAACTGAACCTCTGCGTTCTGCCTGCTTGCCGTTTGTATTCACATGACTTGCTCTTTGGAAGCTGTTTGCGTCGACGAGCCGGTGTTCCACAGAAAATGGCCCCTGAGTGTAGCTGGTTGGCGTGTCTCCCCAGTTCCACGCCATGGACACGCTACACAAGACGGGCTACAACATGAACCGAGCCATTGCTGCTCTGGTCCCGCAAGGTGGGCCGGTTCTGTGCCGAGACGAGATGGAGGAGTGGAGCGCCTCAGAAGCTAATCTGTTTGAGGAAGCTCTGGAGAAGTACGGCAAAGACTTCGCCGACATCCAGCAAGACTTTGTGAGTGAAATTCACTTTGGCAGATTGGAGGGTTGGGGTGACTGGGGAGGGAAATGAAAGATATGGGGCAGGGGGAGAGAGAAATGGATAGAACAGGATGGTGTGGCAGAGCTGTCCACTTTAGCCATTTCCCTACCTCTTCTGGTGACAGCTGTAACGTTAACGAAAATCCAACGTTAGACCGGCTGATTCTAAGACCGTTTTGTTCCACAACATAAAGTAAAATGCATAAAAATGTAATCTGTCTCTGTGTAATTGACCAGTGGTTGCCAACACATCGACCACAAGCCACCAGTAGCTCGCAGGGAGCCAATGAGCAGCATGCAGAACAGAATGCTTTTTGGAAATTGGATCAATTACGTTAATGTTCTGTTGTTTTTTATTATTTAGTAATTTGCCCCCCCCCCCCCCCCGGCTGATGTAACCCAGTACATGTAGCCCCTCAGATTATCTTCTTTGTAGAAGCAGCTCTCACTGTAAATAAGGTTGGAGAGACCTGCAATACACTGAAATGAGAGTTGGGGGTCAAACTCTGCCACCTCCTGGCAGCTTCCAGAACTACAAGTGTCTCACTGGCAGATCTACTACTAAAGTGCATCGGCGCCTCTCCCACTGGATTTCTGATTTCTTACTTATTTTTCCAAGATAAACAAGCTGTGCTGTATTTGGTAATATTTTCTGAAGAGGCGTATAATGTCTCCAGTGCCTCTTGCCATTTGAATTCAATGGCACTTAAAGCTTCCCTTATGGTGGCTTAGATAACAGTTTAAACATCCTGTAGAAATCTGAGTATTTTATTGCCATTCTGTGGTGTCGTCTTATCAAGGCAGTGATACAATAGTATTGTGTATCATCTGTGTTTTTTTGTTCTTGTTTCAGCTGCCCTGGAAGTCGCTAACGAGTATTATTGAGTATTACTACATGTGGAAGACAACGGATCGATACGTTCAACAGGTGTCACGTTTCGGCTGCCGTGCCGTAGGACTGGTATCCTCCACGGTGTTCAGTGACGGACGGGAATGATCAATCTGTGTCTCTATTACAGAAACGGTTAAAAGCAGCCGAAGCAGAGAGCAAGCTGAAGCAAGTTTACATCCCTAACTAGTGAGTGCTAAAGGACCGTCTGTGCCATTGGCTTTCTATATATATATATATATATATA